CCCATGTTTTGCCCATAACCCATATCGGTTTCCAAAGTGGCGGAGTGACTTCTGTGATGGATAAGATTGTTTCTGCAGGCATGATTTTTGTTTTATACCTCTGCTTCTATGAGAAACTGATTGTGTGTTACCTGTACGCACAATCGGTTCCTGTTTTTCTAAATAATTTGGCCTAAGGTTTCAGCGGGTATTTTGTTTTCGCGGATAAGTTCTACAGTGGTCCGGTCTCTTCGCCCCGCCCTTCGACGCTTGGCTTCACCTTTCCGCTCTTCTCGGGCAGAGTGAAAATTGTGAGCTCCACCTCACTCTTCTCTTATTTCTGTTCTTTCCTCCTTTAACGTTAATACCAATTCCACGACATTACGCGTGGAAAACGCCGTGTCTTGCAGATGCTGATCTAGATTGTATCAAATTTAACGGCTGATTTTTCTTTTACGACGCCATAGTTGACAATATCTTTTTGATTTTAGCCCACCATTTTTCTTTTCAGTTTTGGAATACCTTCTTCTGCGGCCATGATGACGGATTTAAGCAGTTACTTAGTACTTGGTACATAGCACTTAGTGTAGCAGCTTCCGATCGAAACAATGCCTTTCATACCTGTTCCTTACCTCCTCCCACACAATCCCTTCAAATGTTTGCTCCTTCTTGAATGAGGTAATCTAGGATTTTTGTAGCGTCTCTAATCACGAATGAGTTTGTACGCTAGCGCAGCCACGAAGTCCATTTTCAATCCAGTTTGCTTCTTACTTTTACAACAATACAATTCGGTTGCATTTCACTTCTCTAGAGCTTTCCTTCTCTCTCACACGCTTTAATGTTCTTCTAACATTCTCCAAACACTCTAGAAACTCTCACCATCCTAGTGATACTTATTTTCATCAACTTCATGTTACTTGGACAATTTTCCGGAATCTAGAAAACATCTTTTGTTAAACATTTCTGAAAGGAAATGATGCCAAAATCGTTGCAGACTTCCGATCTCCAAAAACAGTTCCGACCTCCTCGATATTCTGCAGTAATCTAGCATCCTGAAGAACATTCTCTTTCATGGATTTTGACCCAAAAACATCTACAAAACAGCTCAGTTTGTGCAATTAACTACACAAGCTCCTCCGCAGCACCGATTTCGTCTGAGTGGCTAAATGCGTAAGTGGGTGCTTGTTCTGTGACTCTGTATACTATGGACAGAGTATATTTTGACGTAGATGTTAAATCGTAATGGCCATTTGAGATGAGACTATGGAATGTCAACTATAGCAGTTAAAAGAACTTGAGAGATTATTTTGGACTAACCGTGATAGTAAATAGAATGAATTGATAGGTAATCCCGTCGACTTTGGCCGCAGAATGAGCATATCGACTTGCTCGGCTCTGGATTTTAGTGAAGTGAAAAAACAAGGTATTGCAAAAATGAGCATGAGTATTTCATGGCACGACAGCAATGTCCACCGATTTTCGCTAAACACGAATAACAAGTGGCTCAAAATAGATAACTGAAAAGCAAGCATAGATTCGGGTCTTCAAGTCGAGCTTCGGTATCGCGCCCTACATTATTACCGTGTTTATCCCGGGAACCGGGAAGGGCTATCCAACATTTACAGAATCGTCGTACGTGTTATAAATTGCTGTACTATCACTCCAACAGTGTTTTTTTTTATAAAAATTATGTTGGCATGTATCTCGGCTGCTATGGCTTCGTGAACGACAACTTTGTTCTCTACAAAAGGAACCTCGAAAGAGAAGAGCCATTTAAAAGGTCGGAAGTGCGTAGAACTTCAAAGGAATTCGCAACACTATCTTGAGTGTTCGGAGTAGTAATAAAGCTTCATTCGTTCAGTGAGGGAGATAAATTTTTGTTCTTTCCTAACAAAATGTAGAGGCCAAAGTCTTTGGGTGTTGTAAAACTGTCTGTGAGGTGCGACTTCCATTCAGAATTGTAGTGGCGATTTGAATGCGTATGTGTCCTACACTATGACTTGCGGTAGCCAACTGATGTACAGGATGTTCCGAAATTATGTGCACCTGTTCATTGCAATGCATCTAAAACTTCTCAACTAAGTATAACAATAGATAAAAAGTTTGCTCGCTTCATGTACAATAAAAAGCTACCATCACATTCCAAAATATCCTCCATTGGCACCGATAGATACCTCGAACTCCTTGCCTGTGGCGCGCATTTACCCATCCTTCACTTTTCCCCCGCCTTCTTTGAGACTGCTTCCATGACTTTAAACTGGGATTGCGGACTCGTCAAGTTCTCCTCCAATCAGGGATCATAACAAGGAGTCAAGTGAGATAAGACTTGGAGAGCAGAATGGCCATTACTCTTTGCAAATGAAGTCGAGCAGCTGGCGTCGGCACCACTCTTGAACAGGCTTTGCTTTGTGTGCTGGAGCACCATCGTGCTCGAAGGTCTATGGACTGTTTCAGAAAGCGAGATGGGATCAGTGCTTTAGTGCGCTCATCGGTTTTTGGTTTCCGAGCGCACCCTTTCCCAATTTTCATTCCTCCCACCAACCAAACCAGTTTGCCATCGTCCGTAACTCTCACGACAAACATTAATTTACCGATGCTATAATAACTTTTTCGTGCGGAATTGCGCTTATGATTTCTCCATGCAGGACTCAATCCTTTGATTTGTTGAGTATTGGCTTTGTCGTGAAAGTCTTCCTCCAGACGGATCGAAGAAGTAACGCATGTTCCCACTTGAGTAAGTTAGCAACCTCTTTTTTTTACCTACGATGTCTACTGAGATCGGGACAAAGTGGCAGTTTTGTAGTTGAAAGGAACAGCAATGAAACTGTGCTTGACAATCCGCTCTAATTCGATAATTTCGATAAGTTCTGCTGCGTCGTTATCCTTTTAATGGATCACACAAGATTGCCATCGACGCGCAAGCGGACTATTTCAATCGTTATACTCTTGGAAGTCCACGTCCTTGATTTTGCTTCTCTTTATCGTTCAACAGCCTTACATTCGATCATTACTGGAATCTTGAAAAATTTTACCTTGCCCTCCCGCCTCTTTCATGTCAACGGCTGCAAGTGGAGCTTAATCAGCCTCCACCTTCTTAATCATAGAAGAAGTCTTACCTTGGTAACTATGCAGTATGCAAGAAAACCTACACATGCAACTAATTAATAACGATTGAAGTGAAACTGATAAAACATTTCTCTCTCAGAAGTTACACAATTTTGGTAGCCGTGATTTCGGGACATCCCGACAAGTCAGTGCTGCAATCCTCCCACACGAGCCTGATCCCGACTAACCGATCCTGGAGAGATAAAAATCTTGAGTGGTCGAGGCGGGTATTGATTCAAGATTCAAACTCGTTACCATGCGTGTGTGATAGTGCGCCAGTTGCCACTAAACCACCTCTGCGCATACATTTCCCAATATTCTTCATATACTGCCTTTTCCAGCAGTCTAAATGTAAGGGACGGCTACCAGTAGTCATTATGAAGCGCAAGAGCATTTTGCAAGCATTCAGTACACGTTTCATGACAAAGCTTAATGAGGGCGTGCATCAAAGACGAGCCTGCCAGTTCTACACTCCGCCGTCCTATCCACTGCGCTATCGAATGGAATGGCTACCCGGTCTGTGCTACACAGTGGTATAGCACAAGGGGAAAACGGTCCAAAAAGTTTGTTTGCAGGGTCATGAAAGATTTTAGTTCGACTTGAATTCAGTGTTTGAAAAAACATACGGCGGTCCAAATCTTACCTCGTATGACCTCTGCGACCTAGTATCCTTTCCTTGGCGAAGTATGAGTGGAGGAGCATGGTTTCTTGTATCTCTGATGTCCGCTTACGTCCAAAAGGACGCACCAAGAAAGGATCTTTACCACTTTCTCTCCTCGTTTAAACAAATGATCTGACGGCACTAAAAAATCTCAACATGAATATGGTCACATTTGCTAATGATATTCATGTCTTTGCAATATACAGTGCTTATAATAGGGGTAAGTGCAGGCAGCTTTGAAGGAGTCAGTGGAGACGCAGTTGCACTGGACTATTGCATGAAATTTGAGCGTTATCCTCTCTAACTAAGAAGGGTTTTAGGTGGCGGTGGCCATTCACATGAGATATGTATCTAGGTGCTTCCAAACGCTGATCGCAAATGTGGGTTCCAACTTTGCAAAACGATTCTGGGAACAATGACACGGACCCATTCACTCCAAGTATCATGCCAGTGGTTTGCTTTTGTAAGCAAACCGAGCATCAATCAAACGTGCAACGATGGCACATTTGGGAGGGCGGCTGCGGACTGGTAGGCGTGACAACGAGGTTTGAATCCTTGATGCATGCGCTTGTTTTGCCTCTTTATAAAAAGTATCCAATATACTTGCAAAACTCTTTTGCGCATCATATACACTACCTACAACCCTACAGTGCCCTTCAAAAGGAAACCACCTTGGACCTTTTCTACCATAATTCATCTCGAATTAAATGTTTCTGACTGATTTTTCGATAGTACCCTTTTTAAACATTACCGACTCTCTTGCGATGCAGAATCGACGGTAGCTCGCTTTCGGCCAAGTAGGTGAATTTTTTCAGGAAATCTGCGAAAGGGGCATATTCTTTAGGTTGGTTTCGTTGTGTTTTTTGAGTCTAGAAGAGTCAGTGATTCTTTTGTTTTGATAGCTGATCGCTCTGAGTAAAGAGACGGAATTCTGGCTATCGCTCTCTGACCGTGTAGCAGCTTTCCGCCATTGCCACGGGCAGTGAGCAGGAACTGGTCCATGCTCAACATCGAAAGCTGTTTGTTCGGTCAACGTCTACGCTCACGAAGGCTATCGAAAGTGTTGAGCCTCCCACAGGCCCAATCAAAGAAGGTCACGGATTGCCGCTCCTGAGGATGCAAAGAAGACATTGGTGCGTCGTTTGCGACCCAAGATTCCAGACGAACATCTTTCTTTTTTTTTCTTTTTGTCTTTTTCTTCTTTTTCGGTTCTAGAAAATTCCTCCTCTTTTTCGCATTCCCCGGAGTTCCAGTATTAGTCTCGTAATCCACTGGATTGCTTGTTCTGAAAGTGTGTACAAGAAGAGGACTTTCTCCTGTGTTTGTGCTTTTCTACGGAAACTTTTCTCCTGAGATAATGTATCCAAATATTAATCGGATGAGGAGTAATCCGGAGAGTAATCCGGAGGGAAGGGCGAAATAAGGCTATCCAAAATTCATGAAATTCCACGATTGATCGCGTCCAAATACGATCCGTGCTTGTATGTACTTTCTTTTCATAAAGTTGATGTCTCTTTTCCCAGAGCGGAGCAGGTAACATTTGGAGTGGTTGTGTCGCGTATGTACAACCGGAGTGTGTGTTGTACACTTTCTTCATTCCATATGTTGATGGATATGATTGGGCATAAGATTTCCCTTTGCCTTATCGCTCCAAATGTGTTGAGTCACAATGTTGATGAACCTTGTCATAAAATTGAAGTTCTTGTGCAAGTTTAAAGTCTTTGAATGAACGGTTGGCCCCAGTATCGAGTAATGCCTGCACATCGTGCATTTTTTTTGTAATGGATTCATTACTTTGATCGATCCTGTAAGAAGAAGTGTGTCTTCTATCCCCGTCGCTTTTGGATTTCCCGCAGCAGTTGAGATGGTAGAATCATTTGCGCCAGTTTCGATTAGGGGTTCGAATGTTGTGTCATTTGATGCAAAATTCTGCAGCGACTGTTTAGTTTCCCCATTATTCTTCTGTTCGACTTGTAATGTGGGAAAGTTTAATCCTTTATTTTTCAAGCATACTGTAGTATGGTGTTGTTTTCCGCAATAAATGCATCCCACTGACTCGCACTCGGCGAATGCGTGATTTTTGATAAGCATTCAAGACATCTCTAATCGTTTGTTTGAAATATCCAACTTTTTCTTCGGGTGCTTGAGTTTTGTGCATGAGATCGACAAATGACCTTGCGAATCACAATAAAAGCAATATGGCGATCGCGTCTTAGCATAGGCAGAAGCAGTTGAACCTCACCTTGTGCATTTTTTGTGTATTCTGTGGTGTGAATGTTTTCGACATGTGAAGTTCGATTTCCTCTTCTTGTTTCAATACTGTGTCTGAAACGTCCATTTGTTACTCCATGGTTCATGTCCCACCGTACGAGAGTGTGTACTTTTTTCTCGAGGACTCGTCTTTTTATGCCATCCCCAGACTTAGCCGACAACTTTCGACATCAGCCATGGACTGTTGAGCTTCTCTCCCTTGCTTTCCCACTGTCTGGTGATCGGGGAGAGTCGGTTGAATAGTTTGGATAGGCCTTTCAAATCTATACTATGGCAACGGGGGCAGTAAGAGTCGATTGAAGCAGTAAAGAAGAAGAATGAGAACAAACACCCTTTAGCGTGTCTTATATACCACAGTCGTACATCTTTGATTCAATAACAATTATTATCACAACCTCATTTCTACAGAACTCTCTGCTAACGATGGTAATGATTTGCACAGGAAGTTGCATGATTAATAATTGATTGAGTCCCCATTTCCTCGAATTATCTCGAAAATACGTTTGTCTAAGCTGAAGTAAATGCTACCAATGAGTTCCTGGTTAGCTTGGTGCCCCAACCACTGGCGACTGCTTTCTTCAGCTCACTGATACCTCCAGCTGCTTGATTCCTTCATAAATCTTCCTTATCATGAAACCCATACGTTTTCCATTAGACTCAAGTCCAGGCTGTTAGCCAGCCAAGACAAAAGGTCGATTCAGTGCAGAATAATGCCTCGATTCCCGTCAACCTAGCCTGGGTGCTCCGGTTGACGGGAGTCGAGGCATTATTCTGCATGATTACGAGGTTCTGCTGCTGCTTCTGTCACCAAAAAAGGAAGGAGAGCACGGAAAAGCTGAGCTTTTTCGGAACAATCATAAATGAAGACGCTAACGATAAGATGTTGCCGCTCGCACCATGATCCTTCCTCCCTTCAAATTTCGTATGGAAAACTGAAACTTATCCTCTCTTAAATCGTTCCACTAGAAGCGGCTGAAATCTGGGGCATCACAGTTAAGCTTTTTCATCAAAAAGCAGCCTGGATAACGAAAGTAAATCTAGGAAGGCTAGGGGAGTAAATGACAAATAATGATACGGCACCTTACTCCAGTCGCTCCGAGTGCAATTCCTAGCAAAAGCGACCCGGTTAACCCGATGCTTTCCGGTCATAGGGATGCCTTCTTCATTCACCGATAGCGAAAAAATCACACTTTCTCCTATTATCCATTACATATTCAACGCTTCTCTCAGAATCGTTCGTTTATATCCTTTTAAAGGAAACGAAAAACATTCCGTACTTCTCTTTGGTTTCATACTCATTATAATGGCATCGGCCCAAATCTCGAGCGATTTTGCGATTTGACAATCCCTGTTCCTCTTCTGCAGGGAACCTGTCCCTCTCTTACAGGAAAAATCTTAATACTATATACCGTATAGTCCGGTGGTCTGGACAAATTAAGATTTTTTTGCAGTCACTGATGTTCACAAAGAGCTTAGCATGATTGCTCTTAAAGCGGTGCGGTTGCCTGTCTTTTGCCATTAGGAATCTTACTTGAAAAAGCAAGAGAAAGTGTGCCATTTGCAAAAACATGGCGCGTACAGGACTATAAACGAATATATAACCTTTTCTTTTGAACTCAAGCTGACAATTTTTAAGCTAAAGAAGTGGTTCTTTTGCAGCATAGGCATACCATTTACTGAGAATAGAAATCAACTCGCACTCGCTATTCTTCATTTTGAAAAGCCGCCGTCATCTAAATTTGGCGCATGGCCGAATTCATCTATTTTGAAGAAGACTGGTATCCAAACGATGAAAACGATCTGAGAAATGTAATGGTCTAATTTTCATCTAATGTCGGGAAATATTAGCTACCATACGTTTCACTGACTAGTTTCAGTAGGAGGAAATGCCTTCTGATTATAATTATAGCAGGCGTCGCTACTTATAACGTGCCCTCAGGAATATTAATAAATGGAGGATTTCAAAATTGAGCTTTCAAAAACTTTCAGGACACCGCTTGGTAGAGCTCGACGATCTGAGTTGCACCATGTAGCATACTACATAAAAATTGAAAACTAACCTAGTTACAGAGAAAAAAACGAAAAAAAAAGCGAAGTCACGTTTCTTTTGGCTATTCTCGAACAATTAGGGTGGGTATTGTATGTAGCATCGATTTCTACGCTTGAGCTTCCTGAAACGTCAAAGGGCTTGACGATCAACATGCTTGCAACAGTGTTAGCAGTTCCTCAGTGATTATTATGACGAGTAGATCTTAGTGGAAGTAAATGTACTATGTATTCGTTATTTCATGTGAGAAATACAGTTACCCTAAAATTCCATAGATAAGAGCGGTTTAATTTACTCGCGAAAATGAATTGGAATGAAAGTGAAATTGAATGCAGTCACCCCTCTAACTTGATGAATGGATAAATAAAAATCGAAGAAGAAGTTTAGAAGAAGTTCCGCCCCTCAACCCTGAACCCCGCCCACACAATAAACAATTTATATAGAAAAATAGCGATTTCAACGGAATTTCTGCCGGAATCTCTCTAGAAATGCCGGAATTTGATATCTGGATAGAACTTGAAGAGCCCATTCGATCTGTAAAATTCCATAGATAAGAGCGGTTTAATTTACCGGTAAAAAATGATTTTGAAAAAATATTTTCAAAACTTCATTTGACACAATAAACAATAACACAGTACAATAAACAAATACTAATACAATAGACAATAAACAACAAGGACTCCAACATAAACATAACACTAAACTTTTTCAATTTCTACTTCGTCATAATCCTTTATATTCATCATGGCAAAATCGTTTTTGAGATTTTCCAAGTCACACAATGCTTTTTCAAAACTATGTTGAATAACATCACATGAGATGAAATGGAAACTTTCGCTAACTAGAAATGCAGCTTCTTCGTAGCTCATCCGTTTCCTTATTCCACTTTTTGTGTAAGTTGCTTTGGTTTCATCTGTCATCCATTTTTCCCAGCCAGCTTTCAAGTGGTCTTTAAACGGTTTGTTGATGCCGATGTCTAAGGGTTGCAATATTTTAGTCAAACCTCCTGGTATTACGGCTATTTTGCTGTATTGTTGCCAAACTTGTTGCACTTCATCAGTTACGTGGCAACGAGCAGAATCAAATATCAGCAAAGAGCGGTCAGGGTCGGAATTGTGATTTTCTCTCTTGTTCCATACTTCAACGATCCATTCTTTTAACAATTCCTGATTCATCCAACCTTTTTCATTTGTTTTCACAATGACATCTGGAGGAAATTGTCCTTTTGGCATTAACTTCTTCTTGAAAATTATCATTGGTTTAAGTTTCTCTCCAGCAGCAGTCACTCCCAATACATTAGTAAAATTAGATTTCTCATGGCCGGTAGAATCAATTTTGATGTTCTCTCGTCCCTTCACATCAACTGTCCGTTCATGGACGATATCAAAGGGAACTGGTACTTCATCAATATTTCCCAAATTGAAAGGGGATGCGTTTAAGGCTTCAGCTGCAACGAACTTTTGAAAATCCGAGCATTTTTGTAGATGGTCAGACGGTAATGGTTGACCGACACTT